TGGGTTTAATAATTACATAAAATCAAATATCGTACGCTATTTCAAATATGTATAAAATAGATCCACGCACTTTGCAACAACAAAATTTATTTAAATATTTTTAATTTTTTGTAGTAAAGTTAATGGAAACCTTGATTCTTTCGTCATATTAAAAATGTCATCGAAAACAAATTAAAAGTGAAAAACACATAAATTTGCATATATTTAGGCGAATTCTTGTATATGTACATAATTAAAAGAACCGAGCCGTTATTATATTTCAAACCTACAACTACATATATACGTATATTTCGATTTCAAATATCGTATACAAATGTCGTATTTACGACAAAATGTAGAGTTTTCTTACATTTTTGACACTTCTTTTTCTGAATTTTTTAAAAAAAGAAAAAATTATGATTTATTTTGTAAAACATTGATAATAACAAATTTATGAATCAATGACCATAACAAAATTTGCCACCAAAAATAAATAAGTAAAAAAAAATGAACTATTTTTAAATTTAATTTAAATAAAAAAACATAAATAACATTAGTTTGACTCGTTTTTTTTTTCTATTTTGTATTTTTCTTTTTATTTTTTTCTAAATTTGGTTCTCAATAATGCTAAATATACCTGCCAAAAATTATAAAAACGGTGTCAAAATCGTAGGCGGTATCTTTCAAAGTCTTATTCATCAAATAATTTTGAGTCCAAAAAAAATACATGCATACACAAATATATAAAAAAAAGTTTAAGGTTAAGGAAAATTAAATTTTTCACAATGAAAATTGAAAAAAAATAAAAATAAAAATAACATAAATTTTTTGAAATGATTACAAATGTACCAAATGGTTAAAATTAAACAGCAAATTATATTTTAAAATAAATTTATTTTAAATGTTTATTTACCTAAAATGATTGAATGAAAAATTTTCTTCTATACATTCGATTAATAATTGCTTCTGTTTTATGATCATTTTCGTTATTATTATGAGCTACTATTATTTTGATTTTATTAAGTTATTTTACCAAATACATAATATTTCGAAATTACATCATTAAAAATATTTTTGATGAAAATTTATTTTTATGAGGAAATTTGCTGCTTTTTTGTGTTTTTTTAATTAAATCTGTGGCCACAAGGGAAATGTTTATAAAAACAACTTAGAACGAATTGGAAATTTCGTCACATTGGAATAAATTATTCATGTTCAAAATTTGGAATTAATATTTAATTTAGAGCATTCTTTTTGAAATTTGGTGAAACAAAAGATTGGCTAATACGCCACTTGCAAATAAATATTTTTTTGGAAGGACATAAATTTCAATTTTAAAGAAAATGTTATTTCTAGTTAAATTTGAAAAAAAAATTAATATAGGCACACTTTCAAAACTCAGCAAAAACTGGAATAGTTCAATAAAAAGTTTAACTTAAATTCTATACAATTCGAAACTAATAATTTTGGTATATATATTGCTTTTCCATATTTTCGCAATTCTTCATAACCAGATCATTATATTATTGGTTCAAAAAATGAATTGCTTTTACTTTGTTTTAAAATTAGAAATAATCAAGTTATACTATTGAACTTTGGGTTAGTAAAAAGGCATTTTATTGAATCAAAGTTCTTATAATTATAACTAATAGCCTCAACAATTATTTAAATTTAACTAAGAGTTAATTAATAAGATTCTAATTAGAATTTATTTTATCTAAAATATACTTTTTATAACAATTACTAAAGGTTATGCGAAAACAATATTTCATATTTTTATGTTTAATGTTCATAAAAAAATGAAGAAAATTTTAATATTGTGAAAATAGAAAAATTTTTGAAATTTTTTGACATTTTTTACGACAATTTTTTAATTTGTGTCTTTTAACATTTTTAATTTATTACAAAAAAAAAAAAAGATTATTATTTTTATTCTTTTGTTCTATGCCAAGTTCCTATGGAAATTCAAAATAAATTATTTTTTAATAACTCTTTTCAAACAAACTCTGTTATAAAATATTCAATCATAAAATTTGTTTTTATCTACATAATATTCAAAATCACACTTTCACGTATGCATGTTTGGAAAATTGTCAACTGTGCTTTTCAACATACTTGTTCCTATAACGTGTTGCTGTAATTTCAAAAATCTCATGAATACATAACATAACTTATTGAAGTTACTTCAAAAATTCAGTCAATTATCTACAAAATGTTTCGGTTAATTTACTTTATTTACTTTGTGTTATTAATAATGGTTTTCTTTTCTTGAAATTTGATTGTATTGTCAAAGTCGAAACACAGCAATTGTCTTATGTTTTTAAAGTTTATTTGTTGTTTGGGATAAATCATGCAAGTATTTTTAAATTTTACTTTCTTTTAATTAATTGGCCAATGTACATTTATGTTGTTTACACACTGTCTTTCTCCAGATTGGTCAATTCACAATAATTACGTATATAGGTATTTCGTTTAAAAGATTATGAATTAAAATTCATAATTTTTCTCTTATGTCTAATTCATAATTGAAAAATAACTATTACTGTTTTGTAGTATTTCATATTTGTTTCACATAACTTTAAAAATCAGGAAGTAAACTTGAATTTTCCAAATTTTAATTATTTGTATATGAAAAGTACATTATGTATTATGTTATAAATTGTACTTATATGTACGTATGTACACGTATGAAATTTATAACAGACAGGGAAAATACGACATTCTAGTGCCAAAATTTTCAAAAAAGAAAAATAATAATAAAACATTAAAAATATCACAAAATGAGCAATAATTCTGCCAAAAATTATAATGTTTGATTATACATTATAATTTTCATTTATTTAATTCATAAAGTAAAAGAAAAAAAAAATCGTGGGTGCAAAAAAAAAAAAGCAATAATAAAACTTTTAAAATTTCGAAGATCAAAAAAACTTTTTAGTTTTCTACGTTTTTGTCAAAAAAAAAAAACAACAAAAACGTCATAAAATTTTTCACTTAACTTTTCACTATTAATAAAAATCTCAGTATAACAGTATGACGGTATAGTATATAAAATAAATATTGGTGAACATTTTACAAATACAACGAAACCAACTTCGAATTTTTCCTCAACATTGAATTAAATTTTTGACAGAAAAAAATTCGTATATCTAGCAATCAGTCAACATTTTATTCAATCATCTCATAGTGTTCATATCATCTGAAAAAAAAAAATAATAAAAAATAAACAAAAATAACATAAAAATAATAACAGTAAATAATTTAATATAGTGTTTATATTTTCCTAGTTTTTGTTTTACCGTTGCATTTACAATTATAAATTTCTGTTAATAATAATTAGGCGGGAAAAAAATGGATACTGTTTTTATGGGCACTTTATGATTTCATCTTCCTAATTGTTTGCCAATTTGTTGCAAATTATCTTTTTTTTTATTGCTTTCAAATTTTTCATACAGTGTTGTTAATAAATACACGGATTTGGTTTTTTTTTTGCTCTTAAATGTGTGATATAGTAAAAAGTTAATTTTAAAGCACCATTTTAATTAAAGTTATCGAGTCAATTTTAAATAAAAGTTGTTAATATCTTATAAATAATTAATTTGACAGATAATGGAATATGTACGCGTGTTAGAAATTTGATTTATGTGCTATTGATTTATATGGTTGTTCAATGTCCATATTGAAAAATAATATGAATAACGAAATTTTATTGATGTATATTAAAAATTAATTATTACCATTTTTGTGCAAAATTAAAATTTAAATTGATTCTCATGTTACTAAATTAATTGCAGTGATTATAATTTTATTTTTCTAATAAAAATTTAATAAAACAATTTTTTTATTTGGATATTCGGAAAAATCACAAGTTTCATTTGAAAGCTCAAATTATCTCGAGTGACAAAAAAAATGAGTTTTTCTTGTACTCGTACTTGTGAACACCAACGAAGTCTATGTCGGTGAAGTTTATATGCTACTATAATTATTTTTCTTCTGTTTTCATTTAAGAAAGTCAGTCCCCCTTACAAATGATTAAATAAAAAACATTTCTTATGAAAATTTGTTTGCAAATTCATTTTCACTAAAATTTCGTTTCATTCTTAAACTCTTACAAATAAAGTGAAAAACATTTTTTTTCTCTTAAATTTTCATTTAATTTTCAACTCAATTGAACTCAATGTAACAGTTTCTCTATTTTGTTTTATGCCAAAAATAAATGCGTTCTAAAAATTTGAATTGCACTCTGTTTGCATTCAATGTAATATTTACATAGCCTGAAAATATTTTAATAACAAAAATTTTATAAATTTAATTAATTAATTGCTAATCATTTGGCATTATACAACATTTGACATTTTTGACTGACAAAATTGACATTTTATCAAAAAAAAAAAAATTTTTCAATTTGCAAATTAATACAATGTAAAATTTATGATTGACTCTCTGATATTCAAGCGAAACATTAATGGAAAATGAAATGAAAATATTTTTTGGCGAAATATTAAAAATGGAAAAATAGAAAATAAAATACGGAAATTTCCTCCTTACCCAATAAAAATTTGTCCAACAAGTTTGTATGTAAAAATTAAAATATTTTTAAAATAAATAAATTTTAATCTACAAATAAAATTAAAAAGTCGAAAAAAAAAGACAAGAATAAAAAAAACTTAAAATACAATATTAAAGAAATTAAAAGTTTATTTTTAAAAAAAAATACAAAAACAATATTTTTAAAATAAAAGCACCAGCACATTATTAATTATTGTTCCAAAAAATTTTTGACAAGTTTTATTTAAAAAATAAAAAAAAAAAACAAAAGTAGGAAAAGTCAAAAAAAAATTAAAATGTCTAAAAATAATTTCTAATTTCAGAGACAGAAAAAAAAAAACTAGAAAAAATAATAAAACAAATTGTAAAAAAAAATTATTTTACAGAATTTTTAACATTTTATGAATAATTAAAAATTAAAAGAAGAGTAAAATAATTTTCTAATTAAAATTTTCTAATTATTTTAAATCTCGTTTTATTTTTGTGATATCTACTATTTTAATTTATAATCTTAGTTAATTTAAATTTATTAATTATATTTAAAAAAAAATATTAAAAACAATTATGGATAGAACAATGTATGGTAAATATGATCCAGCTGCTAGACAGCCATACAGATGTGTCAGAGAGAAAGGAATATCACCTGGTTGTAAGTAAACAAAAAAAATAATTTGAGGTTATAAAATAAAAATGAACCAAAAATTTTCAATGTTAAATTTATAATTTAGAGCTTTTTATATCAAGTTTAAAATTTCGTAAATTATAGTAAGATTTAATGACTCTAAACAAAAATTGTTATTAATTAAATATTACGCACCAATATTTACGCAGTTTGCCTAAATAAATTTTATAGTATATATTCGCAAAATTATTTGGCCAAATTCATATACGATGTACGGATATTTGCTTTTCAAGCTATTCAATAGTGCTAAATAATGATTATCAGTAAAACTAACCTAAGCTTATTTAAGCTTATTTGGAGAATGTAAAAATTCAATATGTTACCGCAAGAAGCATAAATAAAATTGAAATCGTCTTAAATCATTCTAAAGATCAACTAAAATCATAAAGTGGAAAATATCCTTCAAAATATTCGACCTATTTATTTTTTGGAAAAGCAGTACAATTCTCAAGAAAAATTCTCATAAAATCTGATATGAGACTGATAAAATTTATTACAGAAAGAAAAACTAAAAATAGGTATCAAACAAAAATTTTAGCCTAAACACCAAACATAAACTTGTTGTTTGACTTTTTCAAATTATTTCAAAAAATTGCTTAAATTTTTGTACTCAATTAACTCAAAACGACGAATTCTGATTAGGGAGTTTTACCTTATTGTCATAAATTATCACAATTGCAAATTATAATTCAAAAAAAAAAATTAACAATTCCATCATACTCGTAATTCCATTTTCTAATAAATTTTGTATTTTCATATTAAATTCACACTCTAAAAGATACGAGTATATTCATAAACAATATAGTGTAACACCTGTTGTCATCATAATATTAAGATATCAACACTTCAACATACATAATTTTACTGTAATTTCGTGTATGTTTGTTATTCTCTCTCTTATACAAGATAATGAATTATATGTAACTTAATTTCGGAAAATTTTCCGAATTTCCGAATATTTTCAAAACTATTAAAAAAAAAGAAAAATGGTTTGTGCCTTAACTAAAATGAATTTTATATTCGAAAAAGCTTTTGGAATATTTTTTTATATGTTTTCTTTTTACAGTTTTTGTTTTTTATATAAAATTGTTACTCGTATTCAACTTGGTTATCATTTACTCCGCCACAAACATAACATTTTTGAATTTTGATTGTGGGTGACGTTATTCATCACCCACAGCAACAGCATTAGAAAATTTTTATTTTATAAAATTGGAATTTTATACATTTTATTTTTTCTATCATTTCTCATTTATGAATTTATGATTTATATTTGTGGGAGCGCAAATATTATATGGTAAAAGTATAGAAAGCAACAACTTAGCATTATTAAAACTCACTATTAAATATTTTTTATATAATATTGTACATATACATACATGCATACATGCATACATGCCGAATAATATTGAATTTTCATTGATAAAAGCTTCTAATATCTGGTAGTAATATCTAAGTATATGTATGTGTGTGTAGATATGCAAATATAAAAAAAATGCAATTATGCAATAAATTTTTAGATTCATTTATCGAAGTGAGAAAATCTTTGAAATTCTATAAATACTTAATGCCCGAGATAGAATAAAAATTGTTTATTAGTTGAGTACGAATAGAAATTTAGAAATTAAGAAAGTTCTGGAATTAATATCCAACTAAAATATATAGAGAAAAATTACAAAAGCATTGAAGAAGAATAAATCAGAAAAGGTGTTTTCGATTTCGTTCCTATTATAGAAACTTTTTAATTGGAACTGTCAAATTAATCTTTATCAGACATAGGTAACATATTATCATGAGAGAAAATATTTGGATAATAATAAGCGAACATAATTTCAAGTACAATTTTAGTGATATTGCAAAAGCAAATATTAGAGAATGAAAACTCATAATAAAATGTGAAATTGGTTGTCTCAAAATTATTTATTTATGATCAGGAAGAATAACAACAAATACCTCAATCTATCAACAAATAATATTAAACTCAAAGAACAAGTTCGTTTTAATAGTAGCGTTCGTGAAATTATTTTCAGAATCTGTTCACTTCATTTTTCATAATTATTAAAATTAAATTATTCGTAACCCAGTAACATATTATTAATATAAATAAAAAATGTACATACATACATATATGCATACAATATAGCGAAATATATAATTTCAATTAGAAGAAATTGAATTTTAATTGATTGATCTCCCATCGATTTTTCAAATTTCAATTTATTTTTAACCTTTTTAAAATTTTCTAAAATTTCTATGTACACATTATTTATAATTTTATGTGTATATGTATACGAATTATGTACCCACATAATATAACATACTTACTCAGAGTAAATTCTAGTTTTTGCATCTATTCATATATGTATGTTATTTATGCTTATATACTTATAGTTAGTATGCTAATGTTTTTATATTTTTTTTTTTTCATTGAGCACATGTGCTAAAGATTACGTGATACGTGCTGCTCACAATTTTAAATTTTGTACTTTATGCACATAGTAAGAAATTATGATGTAAGCAAAATTTGTTTATAATTTTATTTTTATGTACTTATGTAGGTAATATATGTATGTATACATAGCATATAATCACTTATTTAAATACATGTGCATACATCAAAGTTTTATAACACCTATGAAATTACAAAAAAAGAAAAAAAAAACAAAACTTGGAGAAACTGGATTTAAAATATAATTAGAATTTGTTTATTTGTTATGTTGTGATTGTATTTTTTAATACATAATTACTCTGTTTTATATACGAACGTTCGCAGTTGTTGATGAATTTTTAACCTCAACCGCCTTCAATATTCATATATTTTAATTATAAATGTTTATATGTACCTATACAAAATAACATGTAAACAATAATGCGGCGGCGGTAGTAGTGGTTTCACTTTTTGTTTTATTTTTTCTCTCTGCCTCTATATTTTATGTAAATATATTTTCTCTATAAAAAGTCTTGAATAAAATTGTATGTATATTTTTAAGAATAGAGTTTTTTGTTCTTAAATTATTAGTATAGGGTGCATTGAAAATTTTCTTATAAACCTGGTAAATGATTACATTTTTAATAATATTTCATTAAGCTATCAGAAAATATTACGGATTAAAGATTTGAGATAACTATTTTCCCATTTTGAATGTTTTAAGAAGTCTTTTACTACAATAGTATGTACAGTTTTTATCGGGATGTTCTTTAATTTTCAGTAATGGTTTATGGTAAATTTTGCTTCTACAATTTTGCGAAATTTCTTGAGCTTGTCAGGCAAAGTAAATGGTTATGTTTAGGACAGGCTGATGTTTATAGAATGTGATTTTTGTATGAATTTAAAATGAAATTTACATTTTACCACTTAGTTTTTTAATACAACAAATTTCTTTGAGAAAAAATAAATGCATTTTATCTTCAATTTATGAATCTTAATATGCATAATATGTATAACAGTTTACATGTTACGAACAATATTCTATAATGAAATCAAAGCACCCTATAAAAATTCACTTTTTGTTTTTATAAATTTTTTCATTAAAGTACACAATAGAATTTATTTCAATTATAAACAAAGTATGTATTTTATCCAATGTTAAAAGTAAGAAAAATGTGCTGGAGTGTTAAAATGAATATTTTTATTATAACATTTTTGTTGTTGTTTTTTTTTTAAATTAAAAATTTCAATATTTATTTATTGCCGTCATCAAGAATATGAACTTGATTTTAATTTTCATAAAGTATTCAGAAAGAATTCTTCAGTCTTAAACGGAACGAACTTAAGTAAAGTTTAACAAAAAATTTAAACATTATAAAAAATTTAAAAAAAAAATCGGTAATCAATAAAATATCAAAAATTTATTCGGACTTATTTTTCTGGTTTTTGAAATTAGTAATACAAAAAGTGCAACAAAATTTTTTTTAAATATTCGCTAAAGTAGTGGCGCTTCAGTTTGTTCTCTCAAGGAAATAATTATAAAAAAAAAATAAACGATCAGTGTTGTGTACATATTTCGGAAAATATTGAAAAATATATACATAAATACATATAGAATTACTTATATTTTAAATATTTTGGATTTTATATAGTCTATTCACTCAGGTGTTTCTATTAATTTGGATAATTTTGTAATTAAAAAACTTTACAAAGATGACTGGTAAGATAATTTTCTTATTCATAAAATGTTATATTCCAAAAGTTATTAAATAAATAAATTGAGTAATTAGAATTTTGAAATTATATATAAGATTTTATTGTCAATAGAAATAGTTATACTTGGTTTTTCTAATTTAACCTACTTCTTCGAAAATGATTGGTTATATAATTGAATTTTTGTGACAATTTCTTAAAAAGGAATACAATATATTAAAAATTATTTAGACTCCGGGTAATTTAATAAAATCGGTAATATAATATGTATATTATATACTTGCAAATTCGAATTTTAAATTTATGAAGGATTTAACCTTGTTCTCATTATTATTGCATCATATACAAAGTTAAGTAACATATTTTTTTTGTTATACAACATTTATTAATTAAAGTGTATGTATAAGAAAGATATTTCACATTAAACATACACATATACATACATGAGTAAATATATTAGTTTATTAATTGATTAATTATTTTTTTTAGCAAATAACGTCAAAGTATAATATAAAAACTACTTAAACAGTTTAAATTCAATTAATAAATTTTTTACGTAATATTTTTTATTATTTGGATGCTTAAGCTCATTTAATTTGCAACAAAATATTTTGTACCATATGGTTTTGATCGCAAAATTGTCGATTACGAGTAAGGCAAGATTTCATGTACACATGAAAGATTTTTTAATTTCTTTTAGGGATTTTATATGCGTATTGTACCTTATTTCTTGCTCTGGATCTGCATAATCTTTTTGAAAATCTTTCAAAAACAAAATAGTTTCAAAATGACATTAATGGATCAAATAACTGAGCTATATGATTGC